GACGTGAGGCCCAGATAGTAGTGGCAGGCGCCGGGATTGCAGAAGCAGCCCGTCCGTATGTGTATGTTCTCCATCCCCGCCAACTGCTCGACCTCCTTGTAGCCCACCCACTCTCCCGACGCCTTGCGCAGGTTGAAGGCCACTATCGGACCCTGCGTGGGGGTGGGTTAGGCGGTGCTTGGTGCGGTCACAGCGTGAACAATGAGGGCTACCTGTTGGGATGAGTCCTTGAGGTGATGCCGACCGTAGATCACGGCAGCGGGAGCTCCGTTGTAGTGGCGAAGCTCGGCCAGCTGTGTGTGTGTGTGTGTGTGTGTGTGTGTGTGTGTGTGTGTGTGTGTGTGTGTGTGTGTGTGTGTGTGTCATGTATGTCGTGCGTGGGTGTTGTATGGGTTGTGGCAAGCGGGGACGGCGTACGGGCGGTCTTCTCTCGTCGGCAGACGACGTAGAGGCAGGAGGAGATGACGTACTCGGACTTGCGGCCGCGCACAAAGTTGTGCTGGAGCGCGAGGAGGAAGAGGCGGAAGGCCGACTCGGTGTGGTGGGCGGTCAGGCCCAGCGAGCCGGCCATGCTGCTGATCCGCCGCTTCGCGTTCTCCAGCGTTATCTCCCGCGACTCGCGATTCACACCGCGCATGCTGCACCACGACACAAGCGCAGGCCGCCAGCGGTGAGAGATGAGAAGATGAAAGGCTCGAGGACGACGACGAAGAAGAAAGAGGGTGGACAAGCAGGGCACACAAACCCACGGAAGGAGCTCCCAGTTGCGGAGACGAACTGGCCATCGGCCACCGAGCTGCCACCGGCGCTTTCGGAAAAGGTCTGTTCTACGACGATGTTGCTTTCCTCCAGCACCTATCAATGCGCGCAACCAAAACGCGATTAGACCAGTTCAGGCCAGGCAGATGAGAGAATTTTCATAGCTGTCCGATTCCGAGCCCCCGCATTTCGGGCAGATGGCAGGTGGCATCTTCACTCCTATCAAGCTAACCGCCAAACCGCAATCGTGTGTGGTGTGGGGTTATTGTGGTGGCCGTTTGCTTCAGTTCAGGTTCGGAGTAACTTCTCAGTTCGAATCCCGCCACAAACCCATGCTTACAGTGGTCATAAAAAATTAAGCTTTTCCGGGAAAAAAAGAAAAACCATTTCACTCATCACAACGCGTACACGACACATGTCTTCTTATCGCAAGGCTGCCGGCGCATCATGCCACACCCGCGGCAAGAGGGTTGCTCCCTACACTCGCCTGGCGCAGCCAACGACGGGTCCAACCTCTTCGAAGCCCGATGTGTGCCGAAGGCAGTGCAGCTTTGGCGCTGGCAACACGCTACTCCGGGTGGCGGTGCTGAGGAGGAACCACGAACGAGCCACTTCGCGAGGGGACACAACCAACGCAAGCACATCACCGGATCCAGCAACATGGGATTGTTGAAATACTTTAGTTTAATGTGAAAAAACACGCTAAATAATAATAAAAATAATAATGGTACCGTTATTTTTCGAGACGTGCACGATGTCCTCCAACGTACCGGCCGGGTGGGTTGTTGCTGCGGCGGCGACAGCGCTCGCGTGTGTGGCCGCTGCTGCCTTTCTCATCCTACGGCAACAGCCACAAAAACGAGCCCGTCCCTTCCCATCCAGATCTTCTTCTGCATTGCTTGATGTCGCGAGCCTGCC